CCCGTCCCGCCCGTACGCCCCCACCGCCCGCGCCCGTAGCCCCCCCCGCCCGTACGGCCGCCTCCTCCCCGACGCCACCCGTAGCCCCCCCCGCCCGCCCACGCTCCCGCTTCGTTGGGGCAGTCGCGCGAGATGTGGCCCTCCTGGCCGCAGCGGTAGCACGCGCGGCCGCCCCCGCCGCCCGCGCCTCCGTAGCCGCCGCCGCCGCCGCCATAGCCGCCGCCTCCAGCACCATAGCCGCCGCCGCCGCCCATAGGAGCACGGTCCCTGAGATAAGAGATGGATGAGATGGTGGAAACGGGTGGAAATGGGTGATCGACATTCGATACTGAGGATGAAAGCAACGGCGAAGTGCGCGAACAGAATGTGGATGAAAGAGCAGCCGTTCAATTCGGAGAGGACTTATTGAAGTCCTAGAAAAGCGAGATTCCTTCATACAAGTCTGAGGTACAGCAGAAGCAGCCTCCAGTTTGGCTTTTGCTGCCGCCGCTTAGAGAAACGCGATGTCTGCAAGATAGTGGTAGGTGGGCTGGATGAAAAGACTAAAACGAATGGAAAAGAAGTATTGATCTGTTGCTTCGAGGAAGAAGACTTATGAGCCGCCCCGCTTGAACCGGATCATACCCCGATGATTCCAACGAGGGGCGTGTCGAAATCCAGAAACCTTTGAATCCATTTCGAAACTCAAGTACAAATGAGTTTGAAGATGATTGAAGAACAACCAAGAAAGCAGAATTCCTAAGTTTTAGATTGAATCTGATTGCCACAATCCGAAGGATCAAGGTCTTCAGAGCAGTGAATGGTTGGAGTGATTGGTGAGAAGTCGAAGTTGCCAATCAAGACATGCGAAAGGTTTGAAAGAAGGGCTAGTGATAACCAAGATCGATGGTGCTTTGCGGACTGAGAACAGCTCAAAGGTTTTGACGAGCCAGAAAGACATTGGAAGACTATACTTGAAATGTAAAAACCCAACGCAAAAGCAGTCTTCATACCTCCTCCCAGGAATCGAGTAGAATGGCAACGGAGCAAAATGGATGTTATCTGAAGAATCAGAAAGTTTCATTTTCTAGAATGAATCAGGACAAGCAATTTGGCTTTTCAACCCTGAAGAAGTTGGTTTCCACATGCCCAAGTTTCACAGACAAGTGATTCGCAAACTTCGATTCAAGCAAGAGCTTCTCCACGTCCTTCAAGACGTTAACAGAGAAGCATCCACGAAGAATACCTTGAAGAGGGCTGCCTCTTAAGACTCCTTCGGGATGCAGCTGAAGATTCAGAACGCAGAGGATAGGAACCCCACCTCATCTGCTCGCGGGGTGCACCCTGGACGGCTGCACCGCCAGGCCCTGTGACGTCCAGCGCCTTCAAGCGTCCGTCATCGCCGGTACCAACCGTGAACTCCACTGGTTCGCCCTCCTTGAGGCTGCGGAAGCCGTCGGCGTGGATGCTGGTCTGGTGCACGAAGAGGTCGTCGCTTCCTGGAAGCAAGCAAAGAAAGCGCAAATTTGGAGAAGTAACCATTTCTAGAATTCAAAAGAGAGGAAATCAAGGTCAGATCGGCGACGAAAGTAGACAAGACGCTGCGATGATAAGCAGGTACTCTCAGAAGCTGCATGAAGGTTTTTGATGATGACACAAGCACCCGGACGAAGCAAGCGAGCTTTCTCGCTTCGAGTCAGGCTAAGATTTCGTCCTACAAAAACACCAAGAATGCTAGTCAGCTTAGAATCAGGGATTCCGAAATAACAGATGTTTTGCACTTCCAATGAGGTTAAGCATCCCCACTGCGTCTCACAATCCCTGATCAAGTGGTAATGGTCTGCTCAGCAGTAACCATTTTTTCAATGAAATACTGTTCAGATTTTGAAGTACATCAGCAAAACCCATTGGGTTCCTGGGATGGAGATCTTCGAAAGTGAGGGCTTGTCTATTTGGATGCTGTCATATGTTCCAGCTGTCACATTGGGCTAAAGTTGCAACCCATTACAAAATCTTCAAAGACCATGCTGTGGATCAAACATGGACCAAAAGTCTCCCGTGTAATCTACACGAGCCAATAAGATAACAGAAGATCCAGGTAGGCAGAAGACCACTCATGAATGCAGTATCTCCATGATTCGAACTTAACAGACATGCAAGCAAGACTCAGGACAAGAAAACTTACCTAGATTTCAAATTAACAGAGCCCTTAAAGCAAAAACTCTATAAGATACATTGTTTCAGACCTTCCAGATCGAAGCAGATACATGGCACAGAATTGAAGATCCTCCAGAAGATCGAAGCTTCATCAGTCTCTATGTTCCTCATGCTGTTGCAAAAATCCTTATGGGACAACTATAGCAGACCTCGCATGCTTCAAAAACCTCAAGAAGAATGAAAATCCTCGGGATGGATCAGGGTCAAAAAAAATCTGATCACAGCTCTGAATGCAATGCAAGCGCTCACCATCGTCAGGGGTGATGTACCCATACCCCTTCGTGCTGTTGAACCACTTGCATGTGCCAGGCTTCTTCTCTGTCTCGACCGCCATGATTTTGATCCGCGCACCCTTCGCAGTCCTTCAGCAAGTCTTGACAGAGTTTCTTGGTGAACGGCGCGGACAGTCAAGCAGAGCAGCAGGCCCTTCGCAGAAAGAGACGGCAGAGATACAGCAAAGCTGTCCCTTTCGAGCTTGATGTAGATAGGAGACGGCGAGGATTTCAAGGGAAGGAGGCGCAGAGAAGCGTCAGGGGATGCTCGAAGGGCGGCGTTCTCGAGGCTATGGTTCTGTGAAGTCGATTGCAAATAAAGAATTCTGCATTTTGACTCGAAGAGAATGCAATGCTGTCTCTTCTTCTTTCAAGATTCTACTGTACGCCTCCCCTGTACGCCTCCCCTCTTACCGACCCGTTTTTCAGTCCCCGTATCGAACCAACTAGAGTCTGATTTGATCTCTTTCAAGTCTGTGATATTAAATTATTCGACGCTGTTATTTCACCTTTTCTGCACTTCGAAGCTTACAGCGGTTTCACAAGTTTCTTCGAACTCCGACCTTGTGTTGGACTGGCTCAATAAGTTGGCGTCTAAAGCACCTGACATTGATCGAAGTGAGCATTCTTTACACGAACACTTGTTCGTGCATACTGGCGTCCACACACGTCCACAGAAGCTCGAAGGAAGGAACAGATCGGATCCTTTCTCGCGGCGTTTCGACTTCTAAAACTGGCTCGTCGAAGATGTCTACGCCAGCACCTCCGTTAAAGCCATTCGATTTTTGTGACTCCAAGCTCGAAACAGACCATGAAGATGCACGTGAATATTTGCTCAGTCAGCAAGCCGAGAGCTGATTGCAAAGCAATCAGATCGCGCCAGCGCATCTCTGAAGTGGTTGCACCTGATCCTATCTTCCTTCACGTGATCGTCGTCACACGAGGCACATGCAGATCTTTTGACAAAAAGCGCATTTGCGCGCGCTATAGAAGCTCGAATGTCACAGCGTCAGGCACTCTGATCTCGAGTCTCTGACGGCATGGTGCTCGTCGCGCATTGTAAGATCTTGCAGTCTCAACGGAGTCGTGAAAGGTCTTTGAGTCCGATTGACAAAAGCCCTTCAAACCATTTGACCTCACTGATCTGCGTACTACATTCTGCCTGACTTGAAGTTATGCGCGAGCACCTGCATGTGGAGCTCCCACCTACTTTGCCAGCTTCAAACCGCAGAAGACGCCTAACGGCAGAAAATTGAGTAGCTTTTCAAGTTTCTCCTTGATCAAGTGAGCCTGAAATCCGCCTTTGCCAAATCTAATCTGTCGAGCAGCGGTATGTTTCCAGCTGAATAGAGACCAAAAGCTTCCGTTTCGCTTTCAAGGGCCCTTGTGATCAAGCTTAGCAAGCGCTTTTTCTGCTTTCGGGCTTTGGTGGACGAAATGCAGTCTTGTGCTCGATTGATTTTATAATAGTGACTATTGACAATCCTCGGGTGTCCTTCGAGTGCTGAGAATGCCGCTGGGTGAGCATGTGAAAGAGGTCAAGATCAAAAGAGGGGAGGAGCGCCTGGACCGCCGGAGCGGAACGGGCCATCGGCACAGCGGAACGGGCTTTCCCGACGGGCCCCGGAAGGGGGGAGTGCATGGGTGGGGAGTACCCGGCGAAGAGGAGATGCGACCCGTCGTGGAGGTCCTCGACAAGAATGATCCGAACTATGAACCGAATGTGAGGCCAGAAAGATTTTCAAGATGCATTTCGCATGCATGGTACGTTGGTACATGGAACGAGATGAGTGCTATTGTGTCTGTCTGCCAGAGGTTCAAAGTGACCTAACGGTGATGTCTACACCGTCAAGCTCTGTTTGAGGCAATCAGTAATTTGTTTAATGCGTTGAACACATATTTGTTTTTACTAAGAAGGAAAACGTCACGGGAATAAAAGGTCATTGGAGAGAGTTAGTCGGAGTGCTTCGAAGATCTTAAGGACACTGACGATAGTTCGGATTTCAGGGAGGGGAAATCTTACATTTTAATCGCCTTCCGTTGCTCTAGCAGTTAGAAATCTTTGCGTCCCGAGGAAAACATCGACAGCGGATATCATCTGAAAGCTGTTGGCTCCTCGAGGGGGCAGAGTGAGAGATACATGGCAAGCCTTCAGCAAAGTCCGTTGGGCTTTTTCATCATTCAACGGGCGGCTAGCATCAATTCAGGGAGCTGTCAACGTGCCGGCAGACTTGTCTTCCTTCCCACGCTCATTTTGAACAGTGCTCCTTATCAAAGTACAACTTGCTTTCTGACATGAGTGGTAAGAAATCAATCCGAATCCGGACTTCAAGTGCGGCCAGTGTTGCATCGTAGCTGCTTCCGCGTGCTGCTCGCCGTGGGTGCTTCGACCAATTTCAGTTGCAGCACACGTACGATCGACAGCGCTTAGCATAACACAAACTGAAATCGTTTCCCTTTCGTGTTGAGCGCAGCACACCCCCATGAGCTCGTTTTTACTTTGCTGCAGGAGGGGGCCGCACACCAGGAGAGGGGCGTTCCACCAGTCGAAGAAGCCAGGAATGAAACAGGACAGCCTCCAAGCCCCGTCGAGAAACAGATTCGCAAGGTCACCTTAGAATAGCAAATGCGCTGCGATATTCCAAGGTGTCATATATTCTACAAGCTTGAATAGATGCTGCCGCGTTATACTTTATAGCAATTGCAATGCATCGGGGTGATGTAGAACAATGTAGAATAGGGCCCCGATCCAGCGCATTTTTGCGCGCTCGCGCGCACTCTGCGCGAGCTCGCGGAGCTGGACCGCGGCTACTTGGTCTCAGAGATTGACAGCGAGGCGAGGCACGGAAACGTGTTCCGGCGGATCGTTGACGGGATTGCCGTCACCTTTCAGATGGCATCGGTGCATTCCACCAAAGGCGTGCAGACAGGGCCGCTGAAAGTGCTCGGCGTGTATACTTACATGATAAGGTGATGCAACGAAGCAGGATGACAGGATAAGGCCGGAGGGGCAAATCCGCGGTGATTTGTGGAAGCCGAGCAGATTGTATGCTTCTAAGATCGGCTGAGTAGAGGACTCTTAAGCGAACGAGCGTGAGTATGCACTCGCAAATCGCGTCCGTCTCATGCGATATAAATAAAACTGCAAGCACCGATCGCTGTGCGCAGATATATTAGTGATCCGACGAGAATTGTGGGCAGCAAGAACTTAACGTATAAGAAGGAAAAGCAACTGCAAGTCCGCATGCACAGACCAACTATGTCCCGAGCTATCATGCAACCAAGGATGTCGCGGGCGGGTCGCCGAAGGATCAAGGCCTCTATCGAAATGCACTGCAGCTCGCACCTTCGTACATCTTCGGTGCAACTATTCGCTGCTCGCGCACACATTGGATGGAATGACGCTACTCAAACCATCCTAGTTAGAAATACATACATGCCGTCTTGGTAGGGCGATCGGGTGGCAGTCGGTAGCCACTGAGGCTGTGCCAAGATTCAAAGATTGTGCGACGACGAAAAACAAGTTTAAGTGATTGACGTGTTTCTATTTTTGCCACTGATCAAAACTTGAAGACGTCTAAAGCTGACAAGCTTGGATCCGGCCGACTCGATGGAAAAAGGAGATTCAGACTGCTTAAGGGGGTTCAGGTGACAGTGTATCTCGCATGCTACCGGCTGTCCTGTATGCAGTGCTCTCCATCAAGTCTTCCGTTCACGTTTTGGCTTCAAAGGGCATTGGAACGACTTATGCCCCGGCTTTCCACAGACGAAGCATGCATCGACGCTCTTATCCAGCTTCACCCCGTTCACTTCTCTGTCTTGTCTCGACTCCATCTGTTCTACTGGAGCCAAAACCTGCTCTGCAGTCCCCGCCACCTTCTTCTCTTTCTGCGGGCACTGGTACGACTTATGCCCCTCTTGTCCGCACACGAAGCACGCGTCACTGCTCTTATCCACCTTAGCGTTCCGCTCCCCGCCTCCCTTTTCCGCTGGCTTTCCGGCCCCCTTGGACGGACATTGATACGATTTGTGCCCCACCTCCCCACACACGAAACACGTGTCGTCATCACCTTGCCTCCCACTTTCGCGCGCGCTTCGGCCGCTCTTCTCCTTCTTTTGCGGACACTGGTACGATTTGTGTCCGACCTGTCCGCACTCAAAGCACGTGTCGTCGTTACTCTGCCCCTCACTTTGGATACCGCTACGGCCGCTCTTCGCCTTCTTTTGCGGACACTGGTACGATTTGTGTCCGGCCTGTCCGCACTCGAAGCACGTCTCCCCGGCGGTTTGTACCGGGGCCGCAGCCCTGCCCATCTTAACCGGGCACTCAAACGACCGGTGCCCTTCCTGGCCACAGACGAAACACCCCTCTCCCACCGGTTTCACTTCCGTCTCAACCACATGGTTATCGTCCGGTGCCGCCTCGGGTTCCGCGCTAGCCCTCGCTTTCTTCCCGCCTTTCTTCGTTGGGCATTCAAATGACTTGTGCCCTTCTTCCCCGCACACAAAGCACGCTTGCGACCCCTTCGCCGGCCCCTTTCCCCCGGGGGGTTTCTCCGGGCACTCGAACGAGCGGTGCCCCTCCCCCCCGCACACAAAACACCCGCCCTTCGTTTTCTCCCCCCCCGCAGGCCCCGCCCCAGGGACCCCCCCTTTGCTCGCCACCGCGTACGCCACCGCGTACGCCACCTTCATCGGGCGCCCGAGGCACAGCTCCTGGTTCTTTTTAACCGCTTTCTCTAACGATGATTCATCCTCGAAATCCACGTGGCCGTACCCCTTGAACTGCCCGGTGTCCTTGTCCTCCGCCCACTTGACCGCCCGGATGTTGCACCCCGAGAAAAAGTCCCGCAGGATCGCCTCATCGATGCCCCAGTCGAGGTTGCCGATGTACGCGCGCAACGAGCCGGGCGCCCGCGGGGGGGGCTCCTCGAATCGGGGCTTCTTGGCGTCCGCCGGAGCCGTCTTGGGCTTGCACGGGGCGACCTTCAGAAACCGCCCGCCCCTGCAAATTACGGACCTGGCTTCAGAAACAGATGCCACATGGAGGATTGGAGACTACGACTCTGGTTTCAAAGTGACGCCAACTGCAGACTGAAACGCCTCTGAGTGGGGCAACATGTCTGGCTCAGATAGCGTCCTAAACGGTGACACAAGGCCAGCTTTAGCTTTTCGCAGTGCCACTTCTGAGCCGTTTCAGGAAACAGAAGTTGCTCAAAGATGGCTTCAGGCATTGCAGGACTTTTCTGCTGGAACTCTACATCATCAAGGCTGCCACGCGCCTGATTCCGTCGCATCAGCGGACGAGCTGGAACCAATAAAAAAGTTCAGCAGACAACCGAGCAGCTCTCGATTTCGTGAAGAGGAAATTGGATAGCATGTTCGTCTGTGCGGCGCTCACATTTCGGCTCCGTCCAACGCTTGCGCCCTCTTCGCAGCCACCTCAGTCTGCAGACAAAATCGACGGGATCAGCCTCGCACAAACGTAGAATCTCGCCACCTTTGGGAATCTCGGACAAGCAACTCAGTAAAGAACGACGTAAAACCACCGCTTCTTTCGGGAAGTGCCAACTTTGGTGCCTTGAAAGGTTTTCCTGACAAACTAAGAGCTGCCTCTCATACCATAGAGTGACGCAAGATCGAGAACCGCCCTGCTTAATTCCGAAAGTTGCGCACAGCGATCCTTCAATTTGCCAACACCTGGGGCAGACCGACTACCACGCACTCCCTGGCACCAATCAAGCACGTTGATCTCCCCAAACCTCTAAACACGGAAGCTTTTGTCTTGCCCAAATCTTTTTTTCCAATTCAAGCGAACGGATGGATGCGGAACCCCGGCTCCCGTCCCATAGATTTAGTGCCACATAGCGTCAGCAGAGGCAGAGGAGGGTTTTGCTACAAGCCTCGTCTAGCTACCGCCCACTTGCTGCGTCCCAAAACATTCCGTGCACTCGCAGCTTTAAAAACAACCCCAGCAAACAAACGTCGAAAAGGATTTCGGAAATCCTCGAGGGGAGAGAAAGAACGAAACAAGTCCTCCTGACTTGCTTACTCTAACCTCCGTCCAGAAAAGTATCGACAATATCTTGAGAAACCTTACCTTGAAGGTGATGAAGCAGATCCCGTTGAAATTGCCCGTGTCCGGAAACGTGCAGAAGTCCAGGTCTGCGATCGTGCCGCACTCGCCAAAGTACTGGTGAATGTCGTCCTCAGTCGTTGTAAACGGCATGCCCCCGACGTACACGCGCTTCGGATCCACCTGTCCAGCCCTATTCAAAAAGCGGCAGCTAGTGAGAAATGGTATGCAACTCATACCGTTTGTTAGCAAGGCACCGTGCATTTGTACGCTCCTTGCACTGCACTCTGCTTGCGTACACCGCCTGCAGTTCCAGGGTTGGTGGAAAAACCGATGATAAATTGAGTTCAGAGTTGTCCCATTGGATGTTGGACCCGATCGAGGTACCTTTGGGGGCCGTTCTGGTGCCTGCGAACCCCGCAACAAGCTGAGCGTTCTCAAATGACTCCTGTTCGCCCCAAGTTTTGCCGACTTCAGCACCAGAGCTCAGAGGAAAAATGCAAGACGCAGAGCGGGTCCCAGAGAGTGTCTGTCATTGCGAAAAGACCCTGTCAAACACACCTATCAGCCGCAGTGCTCTTACACGGAAAGGTCAGCAACGATCAAGCGGAAGCGATATCTTCGAACCAGCTCGCTCTGGTGAAGAGCTTCTTCCGGACCATGTTTGTTCGTACACAAGGGCACAAACTCGGCTGCGGATCTGAGGAAATTACGAACTCGAGGGGCCTCATGTTGCCTTCCTCGAAGGACTGTGCACAAGAGCGGTTTTTGGCAAAAGAAATCATCTCGTGACCACTTCTCAGAACGTAACCTTCTGTAACAAACAACCCTCTACGCACCTGGTCTCCCCATCCATTGTATCCCTCTCCTTCCGCTTCCCAAGCTCCAGGGCTCCCTTCTCCCCCCCACCATTCAAGGCTCCCTTTGCGGCCCCGTGACCCTCCTCATCAGAGCCCCCAGACTCCCCATTGCTCTCGTCCCCACTCTCAGACCCCTTATCGCCCTCTTCATCAGACTCGGCTGACGCTCGCAAGCTTTCGCTAGCATTAGACTCGTCCTCTTTGTCTGAGCTTCCTTCGTGAGATGTTTCTGAAGCTTCACTGTCGTCAGACCCTTCCGCTTCCTCTGACATTTCGTCCTCTGAAGTGCGGCTCTCTCCGGCTGCGCGCTTCTCCCTGTCAGATGCTTTTTCCTCCGAAACTTCACTTCCTTCCGACCCGCTGGATTCGGCATCAGAATCTTCCGTCCTCTCAACCAGGTCCTCGCTTTTGTCCTCATCTGACTCTTCTCCGCTGCTGCTTTCCTCATCATCAGTATTCGCCCTCTCAAACTCGCTCGCCAGATTCCTTGGGTTCTTTGAGTTCTCCGAACCATCTGAACCGTCCTCATCAGATGCCTCCCCAGAGCTCGTCTCCCCATCGGTCGCTTCCGAATCACCACTCTCACTAGCTTCACTCTTTTCAATTGACCCTGACTCAGAGTACGATGCTTCCTCTTGACTGGACTCTGATACAGCATCAGCCCCTTCGACTTCGTCATTGTCCGAGCTTCCACTGGTCTCTTCCTTTTGCTCCATCCCGTCAATCTCCTCAGCGAGCCTCGAGGCCGCTTTCAGGATCTCCGCCCCTGCCTTGACGTCAGCTTTCATCACCACTTGTGCAGCCGCCAGCGCCGCCGCTAGGGCCTCTCGTTTCTCAGCCAGCCCTTTTTCGGGCTCTGAGCCTGTTTCACTAGACTGGCCTGCAGGAAGGAAGTGTTCTCTGCTTAGAACGCAGTTTGAGAGCTAGATGATGCTTGATTTGCAATGCTGCACAATATTATGGTGTGTTTAAAGAGTCTCTTGGTCTCTCAGCAGCATACTGTCCAAACGACAGCACTGTGCGACTAAAAGAACCTTCAAAAACTGGTTTCTCTACCTCCATCAGTTGACCTTTGTCAAGAGCTGGACAAGCTTTGAAATGGGGCTGAAGAACTATGCCAAGTGCGCGCTAAGGCGCCTTCTAGGAAAGGGAGCTTGGCGCTGACAACCACCACCAGCTTTTGTTTTTGATTTCAGCACGCAACGTCAGAACCTGCTAACTGGTCAGTTGTGAAGTCCCATCAGAGTACTTTAAGTCTCTGCTTGCTTGATGCTAAGATCTCCAGCAGTGACATGTTTACGCGCTGACGTGTGTTAAGAAGCAAAAAGCTGCTTCACAGCAATAGAAGAGACAAGATGGTGCAAATGATAATCAAGATCCCCACAATGTAGACCGGCCTAGCTCTTGCCACACCGCCATTTCGCTCTCAGGATAGATAAAAACTCAAGCGTCGTCAAAATGCATTCATGATGGGCTGCTGCTAATCTATGCATGTCTAACAACTTAGAATCCAAAGAGAGGCACCTCATGAGCATCAGCTCAACTAAAATGTTGCGAAATAAGAAAGTGCATCAAAGGTACAGAATGCACGCAGTTCAAGGCACCACGTTTAGTAAAAAGGTGGTGTAACATGCTTTTCACTTGCCAGAGTACTACTGGTTTTCCAAAGCCCTTCGTGAAAGCACAGACAAAGCTGCACTCACCTGAACCCTCCTCAGAATCGCTGGTCGCCATAGACCTCTTTTCGTCATCACCGGATGATGCCCCAGAGACATCACCGCTGATTGTCTCCTCGCTGCTCTGGCGGCCATTATCATCACTCTCCTCGCCACCACCTGAGCTTCCGGACTGAGCTGGCTCCTCTGAGCTCTCGGGTTCGCTTTCCTCTTTTTCCTCTCCCATCGAACTTGAAGAGCTGGACTCAAGCTCGGGTGAAGACACTTTCCGCCGGCCGTTAGCCAAAGGAGCAGTCTGCCGCAATGCAGGGTCAGTACTTTTCTCCACGCTTCGCCTTCGCTTCATTTCTTGGGGGTGGTTGCTCAGCGCCTTCCTCTTCGTGGGCGCCATTTCTACCTCACCGTAGGGCAGCTCAGTCACATTATCCCTCACACGCACTGCATACAGGGGCATGAGCGTCCATTACCGTGGCGATCCATGCGTTACCGCGCGACAACATTGAACTAGATCGGATGCTGAAACCGCGGGCGCGTCGTGTGGCGACGGGGGATCCCATCGAGATCCATGCTTTCCAGGCTCGTTCCTCACGCTTTCAAGCTGCGGAACAAAGCACGGGCATAGCCTTGAGATACCTACGATCGACATTCATATATGTGTGCCATGAGAAGCCCAACGCCCATCTGGCTAGCGCAAATACGAAAAGAGACATCAGTGCATTGATGAGATGCAACTGTATGCTGACATGCCAAAGAATTAACGAGAGTTGTAGTTCGTGTAAAGGAGGGCAAGGCGATCGCTCCTTCGTTGGTCCGAGATCGTATTGTTTTCAAGCTCTTGTATAACGTCGCTATCAGCTTGACGTCAAGGGGTACCAGGGTAGTCCCCTCGGTAGTCTGATTCTGAAATTCTGAAGCCTCATGGGAGCACTCCGGGAGTGCTCATCAGGAGAATTTTCTGTGCCAGAGATGCTGCTGACGTTTGACGTTGTGCAATGTGGGCAACGACAGGTCATGTTTCAGCTTTCGAAGAAGTTGACTTGTACCACACATCTGCATAACAAATACATAGTAGTGGCCGCCCATCGATAGACTTTCTTTATCAAGTCATGTATATGTATCATAAATCCTCCTATGATGAAGCTTGTTCATGATTTTACGGCAGCAAAGCCGCGTAGCCCACAGAGTAAGCTGCAGCACATGTACTTATGCGTGGCTGTCGCAGAATCCGATCTTGCAAACGTTTCTGCGGGCCGATGTATATATGCGTCTGATGCTATTGCAGCTTTGTCGGCTCGACTGTGTGCAGCAGTTCAGCATCTCGACTCTTCGCACACGCTTTTGAAATCAATCCCCCATCAATCAGCAAGCTCACATCCACTGCCTCTGATATGTACATAATTGATCACCTGAGCTTGATTGGAAAGAGTTTCGAGCTTTGTAGAAGCTTCCTATTCCTGTGCAAATTATTCTGCATATCGATAAGCTTGATTGAAAAGAGTTTCGAGCTTTGTAGAAGCTTCCTATTCCTGTGCAAATTATTCTGCATATCGATATCGAAGTCAGAAGTCGACGTCGCGCCTTACCTACTCGGACTGCGAGTGGACCTGCCTGGTCTAAAATCCTAAGCTCTTAGGGCATCCGTCTAAGGACAAGCCGCTGCATGACCATTTAGCAGGCACTTAGCTCTGATGACAGCCCGGAGATGGACCAAAGCGAGGACAACCCGGCGCTGGTACATCGACCACAGACGTGTTCGTGCATTTTACAGCAGCCTTGGAAGCAGAGAGCAAGTTGTTTTACGTGCCTTCTGCCCCACGACGAGAACAAAACCCTGATCCCCTGAGCCTCTACTCTGAGAGAGTTACATTCATTAGGTGCACAATCGTCGGCCGAGTCTGTGTAGCAGCGTCCACTGGTCTTGGCATGAGCTATGATGGCTTCATGTCGAGTCTCAAACCATTGTTCGAAAGTGCAGAGGTGTCCCCCCAGATCTCGAAATTGTACCGCCAAGCTTCCCCAATGTTTGCGGCCCCGCGTGGATACCCTTACAAAGACGGAGTTTGTGATTCGAAAGATTACATGAAAGCCGTGGAAGTTGCTGCCAAAATAGACATTCCTTTTCGCGTCATAGTGCTGATCAGAATCATATTCGATCGTGACGATCCTTGTTTGCCTCTTGCAAACGTCCAGCCAGGCCTTGCAGACAAGCCTGCAGGATCGTAGAGTTCCAGGGGTTAACCAAGCACGATCCCAAGCTCCTTCCTGGCTAAGTGCAATTCTCAGGATGCCTTCTTGCAATTCCAGAGGAAGACTCTGAAAGTCGGATGCCACAGAGGACGTTGCTCTGTAAGAATCCGCTGCCTTTTCCCTTCCCAAAGGAGTCGGGACGTACGAGCGCGTACAACTTTCTGTTTCGTTTGAAGACTCCAATTGTGGAGAAGATCCTACGACATGTTCCACCGAGGCGGCTGAGTCAGGTGGTTTGTTCAAGAGGGATATACTAGTTGTCAGCTCTTTTTCACTATTTCTATTTTCGATTTCCCCGTAAAGATGTGTGTGAGTTTCAGGCTCCCCCGATGTCACAGGACTCAGGTTCACTGGAGCAGCCAACTCCGTCTTCTCTTGAACGGTTTGGTTACCCCTACTCTGAGATGCTTCGCTACTCTCCGTCTCTTCTACGCTTTCATGAATACCTGGAGCAGGCAGCTCGCACGCACGCGTGCTGCCATTTCCAGACCGTTTTGGCAGAGAGAAGTCATTCATCAGGGCCGCCGCTTCCGTCTTCTGTCTGAAGTCCTCAATCCTGCTTTGAGACGGACTTTGCTTAATTCCAAGGCAACTTGACCGACCCCAGCAAAAGCACAACCCGATAAAACCCGATGCTGCGATGCAGGCTCCCATGCGGCCCATCTTTACAGGCGACAGAGGCTGTTTGCTTTCAAGCTGAGACTCAAGAGTTTGTTCACACAAATGTTGCCTTTGACCGCTTTGTTCGGTCGGCCTGCTGAGACGCGGCCGGCCGCGTGACGTGCCCGTTTGTCCGAAGGGGTTTTGCATGGTCTTGGACGTGATCGGCAGGGTTTAAGATTACAAATCTTAGTGCGACCTCGCATTTAAAATCTCTTGGATTTGTCAGTGACGTCGTCGAGGACGCTCGGGCTCAACGCTAATTACAAGCTGGCAGGCAAACAAGCAGTAGCTCCCCTCAGTCAAAACAATGACGTCAGAACCAGATTGACGAAGGATTCTGGAGCAAGCCCGTCCAACAGAGCGACTCACCAATGACATTCTCCTCATGAAGTCAGGGTATCTTAGTCAGTGCAGCATCATTCGATACTCCACTTCCATGTTCACGAATGCTCTTCTTCCGCACAACCTCAAGGGAGCAAGCTGAGATTCTCTCGCGCGCGATGGCGCCCTTCTCTCTCAGAGCACTCTTATTGCATGGAAGGCTTCTTGCTTTACTAGGCATGCTTCTTGTCGTGATGACGATGAGCCCCGCGCTGTATCGAAACTTGACAACGGCAAAAGGTGGCACAAAAAAGGAGTCTCCAGTGTCTGAACTACCAGAGATTATCCATGTCAGAAGACCCAGCCTGATGAATTACATTCGCTCGGATCTTCAACTAAACGGACATAGATCCAAAGGAAGGAAGGATGGGAAACTTGAAACAAGCGTCAACACAGTGGACCTCGAAGATCCCTTTTCAAGCCTGTTTGCAGAACCACTTGATCAACAAAGTTCTGAGGAATCATTGAATCCTTTTCCTCCAACAGAAATTATTCAGTATGACCATGAACAGCTTGACCTTATAAGGGGCCGGCCACACGGAAGGAAGCGGGAGGAGGAGCGAGGAACTGGAAATACACATCGATCAACAGATATGAAGAACACTGACTTCATCGGATATACGCATGACATTGATACCTCGTCCTTGAAAAAGGCTGATGTCAACTCTACCTCGAAAATCAACCCTGACCAGAAGCAGCAGGACAAGGCAGTCGAAGCTTCAGAGTTCGCGACCAAGGCTTTGCGCTGGACGGAAGGTGAGCGTTGCAGGCACCGTATTAGAAACGGTCTATGCATAATCTTAGGTTGAAACCAAAATGTTGCAACGTTATGCCTTGCGCGAGAAAAGATAAGAAGCCTTTCGCAGATAGAAGTGACCTGCATTCAACCCTCCCAACAGATGCTGAAGCCTACATTGAGAAGCGCCTCGATGCAATCCAGCATCCAAAAGCCTGCTCCCAGAACAAGTGGCTCGTGGTGGACTCTGACGTCTCTGGGTTGATGTGGAATTTCAACGCTGCCATCCGCGCCCTAGTCGTCGGCCTCCAAACGAACAGGACGGTCGTCTTCCAAGGGCTAGAAGTGGACCCCAAAAAGCCTTGGAGAACGGCTGCATGGGACGGATGCAGCGACAAGACCATCAGTTGGTTCGCATGCATCCTCTGTCCCTCTTTGACAACAGACTTCTTTCCTTGTCCTCTGCTAGCTTTTCCTTGTGCTGTTTTGGAGGCGCCTGATTTGCAAGCTTTACCAGCATCTCTTCAACACTCACCATAATTTCTGACCAAAACTTTTCCGTGCTGCCAGCTTCTTCAACGTGACAAGGTGCGAGCTTGGAGATCAGCCCCGACAGAGCTCAACTTTTGGGAAGCTAGACGACTGGCCCTTCTGGTGAGCCATGTTTCACTTCTGACCAATAGGAATAGAATCGGATTCTCAAGGTCAGAAGATGCCTGATTTTCAAGTCAGGCATGTAACGTTTTCAATAAGGTCTGCGCAGAAACCCCGGTGCTTTATGATTTCGTGCAATGAATCCCGGATTTGGAGTCCGCGCGAGCTTACATCGCGCGTTCATCAGGAGCATACACGTACATCTGTTTGGCATATGATCAACTCTTGAAGTTTTCACTAATAGTGCACTCTTCTGCCAGGAACCCTGAAGTAAGAGCTGAAACAGAGGCTTTTCAAGTGGTCAGAAGTGGTACGCTGAGAAGCTGGCCTGGTAAGGATGATGGATGAGCATCATAGTAGCTCCTCTTTGAAGGCCGGTTCTGTCGAGAGTCTGGCTGATGTACAGGTCGCATGTTTTGCTTGATGGAACGCTTGACCGAAAACTACGATTGTTGTTTATTTTAGGTGCTTATATTCTGTGCTGTCAATTGCAATCTTTCGGATCTCGGCAGGTACTTGGGAAGATGTAGCTCCGGCAGGACTATGGGAGGATCTGGTCGCAACCGGCGCAGTTTACATGGAAGGTGGAGGGGATCCGTACACTAGTACGTCAGTTCAAAGAGTGAGTCTTGTTCCCATTCCTGTTCTTCGGTACCGGACTGTTCAGCAAGGGCAAACGCAGCCCACTTATCGTACCCGGTCATGAGCACCTTCTTCAAGTGCGTGCTCTGAATCTCTTAACTTCATATCTGGCAAGCCGGAGCGCGAGCAGAAGGAAAATGCAGAAGGATAATGCATAAAACAAAAGATTGTTGGTTTCTAACGGCTGTCGAACGGAATGTAGACACTTTTGGAAAGCTTGAGGAAGTTCACGGGCTGATCTTCACTTTTCGCAGGTCTTCATGCTGTTTTCCGTCATCGCAAAGTGGATGACGAAACCGGTGCCAAGGATCAAGAGCATCGCAGAGACGATCATGGCCCAATATCCAGACGTAGAGTCTCCAATTGTTAGCCTGCACATCCGCAGAGTCGACAAGATGACAGAAGGTCAGTCATGAAAGCTACCAAATTGCATCGAAAAACAACGATCCTTGTGAGTTGTGGCCCCAAAGGCAGCAGTAGTACCCCTTCGCCTCACTGCCACTTTCCATGCATCTGCTAGAAGGAACCCCTTTGGACAAGTCGTACGTCGCGATATCTGAAGTGCATCAGAACTCTTCCACTCCGGTCGTGCAGATCCTTACTGGGAGGAACACCGGCAGTACAGAGATCCCTCTGAGTACGGGAGGACAATTACCGAGCTGAAAAAGAGCAGAGGTTATCTATGGCCTACGGTACGGGAGCAATCATGAATAAGGGTTTTCTCTATGATGACTATAATTCAAAGTTTCGCAAATTGCCCCAAAATCCAAGTAGCCAAGCCGAACTGGTGAGTATTTACCTGCCGTCCAGAAGTCTTTCCAGCAGATCTTCCCGTAACACAGAACAATTCCAGACGGTGTTGATCATTGATTCAAGACGCTCAAGTCGTGAACTTCGAAACACAGTCTTGGTGAAAAGAGTAATCTAAGCACATCAAGCAGCAGCCGGAACACAATTGCGTCCAGCATAAGATGCAACTCTTGAGGTCTTCTCTATCTTCGTTTAGGTCTTCGTCGAGTGCGACTCGGAGGAGCTCCTGCAGCGAATCGTGCGCGACCCGGCCGCCTTCGGCCTGCGCAAAGGCGTGCGCATCATGTACAACTCCCTCCTCAACCGGTCCGCCATCGAAGAGTACCACGGCCACGACCAAGTGCCCCCCGAGATCAAGGCCGAGCTTCAGGAGCACTTCGTGGCGACGCTCTACGTCATGGCTCAGGTCTCTGACTACGTCGTCGCAACGCTGACGTCACACGTCGGTCGGTATCTCTGGGAGTACATGGGGGCAAAAAAGCGGCTGGAGCAGGTTGGGGTGGAGGGCGAGTTGGGGTTCTCTTTGGATCAGCCGACAGGGCCGTTCTATCATGGACACTGGTATCCGTGATTGCGGGTGTCTTATTGTACAAGCCAGGACTTTTGGTAGGCTTCAATGAGCGTCTGACTTCGATAAAAGGTTGCTGCTCTTCTGAAGTGATCGTATGCTGGTCAGAGGCGTATGTGAAACGTGCATGTCACACAGCTAGAGAAGAAGTCGTAAAGAAAACGCGCATTGGATAGAATGCGCAATGATGGGCCACAATGCCGTAGGCTTTAAAGAGGTCGGAAGTTGCAAGAACCGCGCGCATCATGGTATTTCAAGCGCGTGCATATGCATCAGTAAACGACGCCGGTGCTATGATCTTGCTTATCAGCCAGGCACAGATGGCTAGCATAGGCCAAAATTTTCATGCAGGACATGGATGGCGTAGACTTCATGCATAGTATGTCGCTCGATCGTGTTCTCAGTGTGCATGAGCAATTGGAGCTCCGGTTATGCAAGTTACAAGCATACGCACTTGCCTGCCATAAAGCGCGCACCGTGGCACTGCAGTGAAGTACGCAGACTTCATCGTGTGTGCGGCTCCCTTCGTTGCACCATGGTAAGTCGACTTTGATCTCAAATGCTCCTGTGTAGATACGGCGCGGCCTCGCTACATGCATAGCAGTGGCAAGCAAACGGGTGAAAGGCTTGCTGCAAGGCGCCCATGGCTTACCACGAGGTCATGACTGACTGGCGGAAGCTCTGGCTGGCAGGCTGCCTGCTTCATGATTCTTTCAAGCGTCAGGATTCTGCTGAAGCGACGTAAAATGGAGATGCAGAGGCCGCTGCGCACGGATGAACGGCCACATTGAATGCGCACTGTAGCAGGTTACATCGGCTCAGACCCTTAAATAACTTCGACTTCGTTCTGATAAGCACTGCCTACTTTTTCCTCCTCGTCAGTCCCTACTCCTGTCTTTTCGGCATCATCTGATCTCCGCCCCGCGACCTCCGCTAACGTGCTCGCCCTTCGCGTATTCACACCGCCCGACCCGCTCCCTTTCTTCCGCGTCTCCAACTTTTGGCGCTTTGGCCTCGGAGGCGGCGCCTCGAGAAACTCGGCTAGGTCCGTCTCTAAATTCTCCTCAATCTCATCGTCGTCATCATAACTATCTACAAGGTCATCGTCCCCCCTATGCAAAGCATCTTCTCCACCCTCCGAGTCTTGGCCCTCGGACTCCGGCATTGCTGACGTCGCCTTAATGCTCGCTACAACGGGGCCCCTGACCGCCGCCTTTACGGCACTCGCCGACTCAGTGCCGACGGCCGCAACGGCCCGTGCCTCTAGATTGCCGGCAGACGAAGCTCCGCCCGCCAGCAGCGCATCCACGCGCACGGGCTTGGCGCGCCGGAACGGCTCGTGAAACGCGTCGTAAAGCCGTTTTACCTGCAAGTTATGGAAATCTGCTTACTTTGAAATATCAAATTTGGGCGAAAAATCAGCGTAGGCAGGAAGGCGTTGAAAGGCATGGGTGGCGGCTCAGTGGCAGCGACCACCGAACGGACAAAGCCAGTCAGAACGTTGTCGCTAAGGAATGGCAGCACCCGAGAATTGAAGTGCACAGCCTTTCGACCACTGTGCGTGTGCAATTGCACAGAAGAAGTTGACGTCTTATAGCGACTCAAGATTATGCACAAAGCTACTCTACCACGGAAAGAGTATTAGCGCCATGTCGATGTCCCAACCAGCGCGCAGACCCATCCAGCCGCGACTAGAAGATGTAACTGGCGCGGACAACGTAGGGAAAGAGGTCACAACCCGCAATTACTGGAAGGGCCAAGCTCACAATCCTCCAGATGAGTAACAGAGCTTCTGCCTCGTAACCAGAAGGCCATTGCAACTAAGTTACCATCCAAGGAGATACAGCAAATTTCCCCTAAAGAGGCGGCATTGGGGATTCACCTTCTTTTCTCCAATCCCTGGACATTTCGCGAGTTCTTCCATCGATGCACCCATCAGGTTTGCGAGCGACTGCACAGTCAGAGACGACGATTGTTTCAGGGCGTCCGAACGCAACGAGCAATCGAAAGGAAGCGAAGTGGCGGAGACTACGACAACCGCTTCTGGCAACTCTGAAATCAGTTCAGTGATCTTCGTCAACCTCTGACAACATCTAGTAACTCCTGGCAATCTCATCACTGATTTTCGAAGCTTAACCATCGAACAAACGTCGGAAATCACTACAGGAGATACAAGGAAGCGCTGACAACGGAATCGTGAAAAGTGATGGCGGATTTGCGGAAGAGATGCAGGACGCCAGAAGAACGGAACCGCCAGATGAGGAGCAACGAATGAGCAGCGCCTGAAAGAGCACTGCAGACATTGATCGCTTCTTGAGATTAGTACGAAAACGAGGGCCGAACTACTCACGCCGAAGGTGGTTCCTAGGGTCACTGTATCGGTCTTATTTACATGGCGGACCGTCGTCAGGGCCGCTGTCAACTGCACAACAACTCGCCGTTTGATCAGCTTTGAGCCCAGAGTCCGGTTACTCAACGATTCTGCGTCATGTTTCCAAACGAGTCCTGCCTCGAGATGGAAAACGCTGTATGTATCTGACAAGCAAGTTTCGTTGTAGAAAACTATTTCTTCGTTTCTTCGTTCAATGGGACCGACAGACTAAGCAAGGGCGTCGTCTGCGACCAGCACGCCGTAAGTCGGCGCGGGTTGGTTGAGCAAGAGGCCTCGGGTGTCTTTTGTATCTGTCTAATGATTCATCTTTCTCAGTTCTCTATCTGGTTCCAGTGCCAAGAGTCTTCGATAAACGAGAGGCGGGCTCACCCTGGACAGGTAGTCGTGGTCTGTCCTCTCTTGGATATTGTCTGCGGGCTTGTTCTCGTACATCTTGATGGTCTCTAAGTAGCGCGCGCACTCTTCATTGCTGCAACAGAGCAACACCCGGTTCAACACGTGTCGTCCTGAGTTTGATTCAGGCAAGCCCGCTATCCAGAGTTTGATAAAGCTGCACAAAACAAGTGCCTCTACAATGCGTATCTTTTGCCAGACTTAGAGCAACTTCAAGTGCTGGAAGCTGCTCCACTTCGAGGAACGTCTGATGCGACAAGAAACCCGTGCTTAGTATCCCATCTTAATCTCCTTCGCTCGAGCAAAAGTCTGGCAGGCTTGAGGTGTCCGCTTGGACCACTCGACTATGTCATCGCTCAAGCAGCAACGAATTGGAAGCACAAAAAGAGAAGCAAAGCAATCGAAAGGTGTTTACCTCCAGGCACATATTAGTGTACAGTCGTGCAGCAGGGCGATCTTGGTCACCTCATGTAAGGGCTTGATGACGTCTTCCTGCAGTAGCGGTACAATTGTTTGAGTCTGAGCACTTCGGAGGTAGCAGGCCAGAAGAACGTTTGTTCCTAGAGCAGTATCTTCAATCTGTCATGCCTGTGCAACGAAGAGGTTTACGGAAGTTCCAAAGGCTAGGGCTGGATTGCAAGTTCAAAAGGCTATCAATGTGCGTGCCCTCAGGAAACGTAAGTCCTGAAGCAACAAATGCTTGAAGCCAGTTCTCTGATTGTTGGCGGAACTCGCTCTTAGCCTTTGAAGACAACACTCTACAGGAGTCTTGGAAAGGCATCGGTTTTTGACTTACCACATCCACGTGGCACAGGACCACCCGGAGGCGGTAGTTCTTTTGCAGTTCCCGGATGCGGAAGTAGATGTAGTCCGGGTGCAGCAGGTGATACCGCAAGCTGTGAGGGATAGCACAGACATCGTCAGGAACTCCAAGCGAATCGTAGAAGTTCAGGATAGCCGAAATGGTGTCCCGACGGTCCAAGCTTCGCATAAGCACCACAGTTAGCAAGTTATAGGCATGAGCAGCCCTATCGCCATTTGGGCCAGGTTTTGCAAAGTGGGGGGCGAAAGAGGGCAAACGTTCTGGATAGCAGGATATTTGAAGCGACCATTCTTTGACGTCAATGGGCAACACGATTTCGAGCTGTCCCCCAGCCGATTCGAATGTTTTGCAATCCGCCTGACTTGTTCCAGAACCGCTTCGTTCTCCTCAAAAAGCGGGAAAGTTTCTTTGACAATGAGCCCAAAACATGCAAGAATAGAAGCGCCTCGCACTCAACGACGAGGTGTGCAATTCCTCCGCTGCTTCTTGAAATCGATTATTGATTGCCTTTTCAACGCCGGAGCCGTACGAGAATCCGGTCATGGTCACCTTACAGGTTCCTTGGTTCTGTAAAAGCTGACTAGATATGCACTCTCAGGGCCCCAAGTTGGTACCTCAGTGGCACCGTAAGAGTGATAACATCCCCTGCTCACCTTAAATACAGGGCACATGTTGTTTCTCCGAGCAGATAGTCTGGCACGATGTCACCGTGAACCCACCGGACATTTCGAATATGCTTTAGAAGCGGGTTTCCGCGCTGCGAAAAGGTGCAATTTGCATGGTACTCAGACAGAGAGCGCAAACTTCAGAGACATCCCAGTTAAAAGTTGTTGGGAGAATGTCAGGTAGCTCCTTCTGTTAGCCCGGAACTTCCGTCAAAACGTGAATCACTTGCTGATCCTCCGGTCCCACAAGCTGAGGTTTCTTTTCAAACAAAGTACTTTTTAACAAGAAGGGCCACAACGGCAAGGATACTCATTTCAGAAACGAACAATGCCACCCTTAATTGGCACACCGCCTCCACCATCATGAAAGTGATTCGTTTTACTTGGTTTCACTTGTACTGGACTGGTTTTTAGTTGAAGCAAAGACTATAATACTGTCTACAAGGCGCCAAGAAGGTGGAGAGGGGCCCCACCTGTCGGTTGCTAGCAACTATGGCGTTCTTATTGGCTGGCGCCTGCACCGGCCCTGCGGCATAGGTGGGCCTGAGCCCGTTCGCATTGACCCCATTCGCACCACCACCACTGGGAGGTCTGTTAGTGGAGGGCGTCGGACCCAGCCCTGGGGGAAAGTTTCCACTGGGAATCCTTACCCCCGCCGCCTGGATTGCAGCGCCGGCCGGTCTCTGAATGGGCTGACCGCCTGAATCTCCATTGCGGGCAAAAGAGAAAGCTTCCGCAAAAGAGGAAGGGCGGGCGCTTGCGCTTGGAGGAGGGAAGGGGGGTCGATGACCAGAGGGGGCGGTGGGAAAGGGGGGCCTTTGGGCGGGCCAGGGGGGTGTGTTTTGCTGGACAGGAAAGGGGGGGCTGTTCTGCTGAACTGGGAATGACGGCCTTTGAGAAGGGGGAAGGGCAGAGGCGCTTGCAACAGAAGAGGACGGGCGGAAGAGGATTGCAGGGGCCGTTGGTCGGTTTGCCGCTGCAACTTCAGCTGCGGAAGGGATGCGAAAGAGGGGAGCCCGCTTCGGCTGCGAGCTTGGGGAGGTGGGATTCGCGTCCCCCATGGAGTTCAGACTTCTTGAGCGTTTGCTGATCAGGCATCATGCGCCCCTGCGCCAGGGTCCACGCCAGGCAGAAGTGACTTCGACAATTTATGCAAAGCGTGGCAGCTGGGCCTGCAGACGCGAGCAGTACCTCTTTTGGCGCGCGTCCATTTCTGGCTCCGGCACTCGCATCCGTCGATGAGAGTCTGGATCGCTGCCCGACCGTTCATCTGCTGTCCGCGTGCCCCCGCGTAATCTGTATGTTAGCTAGCAAAGTTTTAGGGTTCTGCAGACCTCCCTTCTTCAAACTTCAAAGCTCAGCTTTCATTGCAACCACTTAAACGTCAAAAACTTTCATTCAAAAGCGCCTGCTGCAATTGCAGTTTCCTGTGGATTCTACGTGTTTGACTTCGCAAGCTGCGTCTAGCTCAAGGAAACCTGCACCCACGGCCTAGACTTGAAGCTGCAGAGAATGGCGCCGAAGAGCACGAAAGTAAAGGTTTCGCAGGAGGCCTTTGATGCTGCTGTGAAGGTCGGTAATTCGAGTGGTGTTAGTTGGGCATGTCTGCTCTATCGCTGATCACGAGCTAAAGTCCCCGGATGCTAGCTGCTTTTGTTGATGAAAGAATGAAAGCGCTCACACAGGCTTAAAAACTCATGATGAGGAATCGCAGGGTGGCATCTGCTAATTGGTTGTGGATCTGCAGGAGAACATTGAAGAGTTCGACATGGAGCCTGATGAAGCGGTGTCAGACGCTGTGAAAACATTTGAGATGCAGGGGGCAGACTTATCGGGTGAGCTAACAAACACCCATCATTGACACACGAGGTTGTATTGCAGGACAGCTTCAGGATTTGAAGAAGAGCAGCAACATGTCCTGCTGAAACGATCTGATTGCCAGCTTTTTGAATCAAACCACCACCAATACAAAGCTGTGGAAAAAACTCGCCCATTGTTTCTTGATGCTTCTTGATGCTGGTGCAAAGAAGCTTGCTCGAGTCCTAAAGCTACCTCCAGCAACCTAATTGCTAATTTCTGCTTCCAGGTATAATCACCAAGCCCGGTGGTGCTCAGGCTGTGGCGGACCATCCCGCTAGCCAAGCGCTCCAAGCACTGGAGAAGGCGCTCCAAGAGTTTGTAGAAGGCGGTTCAGCCTCTGACGCAGCTAGTGTAGGGACAATCGAGGAAGCGCTAGGAAGCCTGAACTTAAACTGCAAAGAAGATGGGGCAGAGGCACTGGTTGGCAGGAGCGGGGGTGTTAGGATTTTGATTGATGCTGTTAACAATCTGGGAGAAGACAAGGACAGTGAAAGGCTGGCTGGAGCGCTTGACGCCCTTGGCAAGATTTTGTCAGGTGAGGGGGACAATCCCACGTGCAAGAGTTTGTGGTAAAAGGTGACACCTTTGTATTCTTCACTTGTGTAGGAAAGCCTGAGCTGCCACTCACCTCTGAAGGGTGTTCTAACGAGCAGCATCATGCGTTCTGCATGAGATCTAAGTCTTTCATAGATGGAACAAGTTCTGTTGCTTTAGTAATACTTCGGCTGCACCTCAGCGAACGTCACAGGGCTCTGGATTAGCATGTTTCACAGAGTAGTCAATAACACCATCAGCCCTGAAGCAATCCTTCAAAATGCTGATTGATTGGGGTATTGATAAGTACGTTCTCATGCGCAGAGTATGACAACAAGGAGGCGTTCCTCCAGTCCTCAGGCCCAGACAGCCTGCTAGCCAGTCTCCGCACGCATCGCACGCTCTCGTCACTAGTGGCCAGAAGTTCAGAGGTCATTGCTACAGCATCCACCAAGCACGAGGGCAACAAAGTCCAGTTTATGGAGGGGAAAGCAGAGGAGTTGCTCATTGACGCGCTGAAGACGCACTCACAAGATGCAGCGGTTGTACGTGGGGCGGCAGCTGCGCTGCAGGCGTTTGCCACTGCAGATGACTTTAAGGCGTTGTCGTCCAAGGTGAGCATTGACATTCATGAAGCTGTCAACTGAAGCGGGTCTCCTCTTGTCTTGTGAATCAAAATCTGTCTTCTCAGCGTCAATTCAAATGCTTTGGCAAGATTGTGACTCGATTATCTGTCCGAGTTCACCATCAAGAGTGCACGTTTTGAGCAACGAGAATATTTCTGACGCACTTAAAATACAGATGTTTAAAGTAAACAATTCGCACTGAAGTGGCGGTCGGCCTGACTTCCTCCTTGATGTCCTGTCTCGAAGACATGATCAAGAAGGGCTTCTGTCCCTGCAGGGTTTTCGACATGCCCTGTTGATTGGAAAAGCGGATGGAGTCGACGCTGTGCTAGGAGCGTTGAAGGTTCATCAAGGACAGCCAGAGACTTTAGCTGCTCTCTGTGGCGCGCTCACGAGCCTGGCAGCAAATGTAAGCTCACTTCTGCACTCGCATCACTGTACAAGGGCTGAAGAAACTCTTGCATAGATGCGGAGTTGCTTGAGTCGCAACTAAAGAAGTGTCAACTCTGCCAGAGTCCGCAGTTCGACCGATCAGGACCCCTTGAGCGTTGTTTCATTTTTTTGCAAGTTGGCTGCAGAGCGAATGACGATGTACGAGGGTTTGAAAAATCACGACGGGTCAGAAGCCGAAAGCTACCGCAGGGCGACATCTGCAAGGCGGTGCAGGTAGCTGGCGGATTCGTCCACTCGCGCAAGCATACCATATGACGAAGCACCTGCCCCAGGGAGCTTGACATAAGGTGGTTACGGTCATGGTTATGGTCCTTGTTATGGTTGAAGACCCCTTGTTCTCGTCACCCCGCAGGACGACATCTGCAAGCAGGTCCAAGAAGCGGGCGGCCTGGATTCCATCCTCGCAATCCTGCGCGCCGTCAGCGGAGCCCCCCGGACGAGCGAGGCGCAGAACGTCTCCGTGGCAGCGAGCGCGCTCGGGTTGCTGCAGCAGCTGGGGAAAAGCGACGCGAACAAGGAGCGAGTGGTGGAACTCGGGGGCCTAGACACGATCGTTAACGTGCTGGGGCGGTACCACGATAGCCCCGCCGTTCTGCATCAGGTAGAGGCTGGTGCACAGACCCATTTCCGGGACGTTCTGCTGACTTTGCGTGCTTTGCGAATTTCAAAAGATGCTGTGTTTCAAAAATGTGGAAGGGCGTAGTTTGCCGGTCTCGGGACTCCACGAATGTTGGTGAATGAAGTGCGACAGGCTTCGGTTACTTGGATACTGAGATGAAGAGCTTCATCGTTCGTGTGTATGGCCTGGCTTGGAGGTTCAGGGCAGCGACCAGCTAGTGGTGACTGCAGCTGTCGAGAAGACTTCAAAGTACGGTCCGACTGGCTAGCAAGTACATGATTCGAATTTGCTTTGTTACTTGTTCGTTTAGCTTAACCGAAAATCTGTTGTTACTTTGTTCGTTCAATGTATGCCAGCTCTTAGATTATCATCATTGTTCCGGAGGCCCTGTAGGCGAGGCTGCTGCCCTGTTCTTTTGAGCGTGCACTCACCTGATGTCTACTTGCTTTGCTTTTGCAGGGCCTCGCCGCCTTGGCCGCACTTACCTTGCGCAACGCCAAGAACGCGGACCTAGCTTTTCGGGCGAGAGCTGCGGACTGCGCCGTCGAAGCATTGGAGTCGCAACTGGAGTCGTTCGAAGTGCAACGGCAGGCTTGCCAACTCATCCGGAACCTGGCAGTCAGGAACGTTGACAACAGGTAGGCTGATACCCTTCTGAAACGGTCAGATAAAACCAGTCTGCTTTTGTGTTTGCTTTCCTCTGGTGCGCTTGCTCGTGCGCTTGTGTACTTTAGAGTCCATTTGCGAGCGTTTCGAGATTCGGAATGGTCCACGGGCGCCCATCTCGACACCGGTCCGAAGCCTGTCTCTCTGAATATCGCAATGTAGAGTCCTTGTCGTGCTTCTGCAGTCAGGCCTCTGCTTTACGGAGAGGAGAAGGGATCTTTGAGATGTGGCCACTATGGTCTATGCTGCTTGAACAACGCGTTCTCCTTTCTCCACCTTTTCACTGCCCATCCGCGCAAACTCCTGCGCTCGAAGTGTCAGGTACCACATTGACGTGACACGTCGGGAATCAGGAAACTTTAACGGAGGACCTCACAGCGCCGTGCACCACGTTTTTGGAACCTCGCCGCTGCAACTTGACCGCTTGTTTTTCCTCTGATTGTGACGTCCATTGCTGTGCAGGGGTCCCATTCTAGAAAAGGGGGTAGAGCCTTTGATTAGAAGAGCAGGGGCCAAATATCCGCGATGTAAAGACGAAGCCTCCGCCGCACTTAGAGACCTGGGCCTTGATGATTACAAGCTCTAACCAGCTATAACCAGCTTGTCAGAAGTCAGAAGTCAGAACCACAGTGACACGTGAATCCCTGCCTGACACAACATCTTCTCCCCTAGGCCCCGGCATAATTGGCCGGATGCATAAATGCAGAGCTTTGCTCGAGTTGGTGCAATCCACCATCGCTTCCTTTGTTTATGCCATGATTCTTTCATAGAGTGTTAGGAAACCAATGATTTTGAAGCTCGCATAAACACACAGAAAGACTTCCCTGTTTGGTTTGAAAGTTGAAGCTGGTTTCTCGTATGGTTTTGTACGTTGGCGTCACCATTTTCAGCATTTTGAAGAGCCTTCGTCATTATGCGAAGTAATCCAGCATTGCCAACGAGTATGGCCGCACGTGCAAGCCGCGGTACCGGTACATAGTGTTTACGGCGATCGTAAACCAATACTCAATCTGCGACATAAGACCCCGGGAGATCTAGCTCATCGGTAGAGCGTTTGCTTCACAGCACGATTGAGAACGCAAAAGGTACCGGGTTCAAAACCCGGGATCTCCATCATTCTCATTCACGGTTTTCTTTTGCTTGTGAGCCGCTAGCATCCATGTGCGGCGCGGCTGCATTTTCACGAATTTGCTGAAGTACAGTCTGTATACCGCGAGTAATTTTCTGAAAAGTTGCCGCTTTTCTCAAGTTTCCCCCAATGCACTTTCTCAGGCTCTTGGCGCACATCTCACAAGCTTGGAATTCTGAATTGATTGTATAATGTTTGACGTACACGTGCGACGGTGGCTGCGGCAGACAACAATGCATGTTGATTCCCCGCAAGAACGATCTGAACTAAGAGCTATACTCGCGCGATCTCAAAAATTATGGGCCGAAATACATGGTAGCACCCATTGCATACTTAGACAAAAGCTATGATCATGGATTTTTTTGATTGAAGATCTAGTTCAACAGAATGCATGAAATTCATTTAGAACATGCTTGCTAGCCTGAGTTTGTAAAACGATGAAACGAGCTTCGATTGTATACATTGGGACGATGCTGCCTATGTTTACTCTGAGGTCAAAAGATGCGCAAAACAATCGATATCAGGGAGAACACTCTAATCCTGCACCACTATGTTAGACCCCATCTTCTGACGTTCTCTTAAAAGTCAAACCAGATTCTTGATTGCTTGGGCATAGACGTTTGTTTGGAAGGCATTGACAAACTACTCTATAAGTTTAGTGTTGTTGCACAAGGTCCGCATATAGATCTGTATGCGATCTCCCCAGCTCAGCACTGCGACTATGACCTGGCGCAGCCGGCAGCTTGTGCTTGAACGTTCCCTACCTACTTTCGTACAACTTTGCTGCTTCTAATTAGAGTGGCTACAAGATCAATGATACATGCGACTGCCGCCTGCAGATCACTCCTACTTACAAGTTACCCAACACGAACAAATCTTTAAAAGTCCGGAGTCTATACACCAACCTGAGCTTCGGCAAGAACACCTTATAAGGTCTTCTACCCGTACCTAGTCAAGCGCTGGCGCAGCTCAGCGCATGCTTCTTTGCAACACCCCGCTTCCGACTGGGAACTTTTGCGGAAACAAGTTTCGAGCACACCCCATGCTCAGAGAATCCACCTGATTCAGTGCATAGATACGAGCGACGGCCCGTTCACACTGCCGAACTTGGGCGTTCGGGATGTGTTCGGGCGTCCGCAGGCCCCTCGGGCGGCAGTGGGGGCAGAAGCAGCGTCCGGCAGAGGGGGCACGTGTTGTGCTTGGCGACCCACTCCGCTATACACTCGGGGTGGAAGGAGCTGCACGAGAAGAAGGGGAGGTTTATTCTAGCTTAGGGATCGATTTCAACACTGAACAGACGTTGGATGGACGGAGCACTGGGGTCCTGCAGTTTGCTTCGGATGGTGCACTACGGAGAGGGTCGAGAAGAAAGCCGCAGTTCGATCTTGTGTGAGGGCTGACACCGTAAGCGTCCGCAAACTTCCTTCGCCTCTCTGAAAAACGGGAGGCAGAAACCGACCAGATGTGGAGGTTTATGGTCCGGCCGCATTTCTAAGGTGATTTGCTGTCTCTAAGACACAACTTCCTAAAACGCGTTCCTAAAACGCGGAACAGACAAAGTCTACAAATCTGCAAACCTCGACACAACTTTGCCAATCCCTTGTATCAGCCGCTTGCGCATCACGAGCGGCCAATTGGGTTTCAACTGCTGGTTAGTTTGCATCTGTATTACTAAGCATCTGTATTACTAACGAAACTTCACTGCCTTGATTCTGGAAACGCGCCGTTAAAGAGTTCAAGAAAAGCTCGAAGTTGTAGGGAAAGTGGGCGAGCGACTTACTGGCGACATGCAGGCAGTTGCCGCACTTTCTCGTCGTCGCCGAACTCCCTCAGGCAGATAGGACACCTGCACCGGACGAAATGAAGTACACCCTAAGTCAAGGTCTGCCAAACAGCTGTGTCGATCAACGTCTATCTACAAAGTGTGGACTGAAAGGGCCCGAACAAAGCAAAACATGACACTGATGGCCGTGCAGATTGGATGGAGGGCTTGCCACGTGGCATTCCAAGCAAGAATCCCATTGAATGCGCATGTGCGACCAGATTGGGGGGACAGTGGCACAGCTTATGGAGAGGCGGACCCACGTTATCAGACCCACGTTATCAGAAGTTCGTCACCAGCACTTACTCGTCGTTCAAACGGGGTAAACCGGTAAGGTCCTCGAACGTGCCAAGCTCGAGGTCCGAAAAGCGGACGGTTACTACAGTCTCTGGCGGGGTCTGCGGAGAAGACGGGCAGATGCAAGGTGAGCATGGAAGGCGGTACTGGTAAGTTGCAGACACAAAGTCTTGAGATTATGCGGTAAGTCCCCTTAGCGGCCGCGTGGACGCCCATACCCTTCGACCGTACAGTTCAACGCTCCTTCCAGTGCCTGCTGCAGATTGTGCCCAAGGAAGACCAGCGGTTGTAATAAACTGGAGTTTGGTCACCCTTCGTCCAATGACGCTGTTCTACATTATTTTGAAAAGCGGTGTGGAGGCGAGTGGGCTGATTGAAACCCCAAGAGCGCTTCGGTTTGAGAAGCTCAGATTCCAGCGGCGTGCACGGACCCTTCCAAGCATTGGTTTTCTGTGAGCAAAGACTGGCACTTACGGGGCGGCAAGACGTAAACCGGACACGTGTTCTACAGGCGCAGAGGCCAGATGCCTCTGATGCACTGAGAATGGTCCGGTTTGTTTAAATGCTGATTTCGAGTACCGAGTATACACGATTCCAATCCGAAAAGCAGAAAGCGAAAAATTCCGATGGGATACTGAAGAGGGGCTACTGAAAACGGGTTTATTTTTGCAGTTGCCACGTCTGCCGTGAGCGTTTTGCTGGTAGCCACCGAGATGACCAGCTCTTCAACAATAACGAGAGTCTGTTGCGGCTGACAGAAATAGTTCAACGACACGGTGGAGTGGTGCTCACAGTCTGCGTTGCGGCCTCTGCCGCGAGCACGGCCTCCCGCTGCTGGCGGAGCGCCAGCTGGCGGCGGCGGTGGCGCTTGCAGCAGAGGACGCTGCAGAGGCCGTAGCAGGCGCAGATGAAGGGCGTCATGGAGAAGAAGAAGGTGAGGCTCCAGAACAACGCGCGCTTCTTGGTGGACTCTGCAGTAGAGTGTTATGCGACCGTGAGTCTCCAAGAAAAACTCGTTCGGTCGTTTTGTATCTTGCAGGGGGGAAGGTATGGCTCCAGAACAGGGCGAACTTCTCAGTGTTTTCTGCGGGACGTGAGATAGGGTGAGTGAGTGCCCAAGAAGGTCCCCATTTTTTCCGAGTTTAAGTCTTCCAGGGGAGAAGGTGAGGCTCCAGAAGAGGGCGCGGTGCTCGGTGGACCCTGCAGATTGAGTGAAATCTGAGTGTGCGTTCCAAAGAGAGTTTTCCTCCTTTGATGAGAATGTCTCCTAGGTGAGAAGGTGAAGCTCCAAAAGGGGGCGCCCTTCTCTGGGGAGTCTGTGGGCAGGGCCTATATCAGGTTACGTTCCTTTATTCGGTTCCGATTGTGCAGTCTTCCTTTCTGGAGATGTACCTCTGCGAAAGAAAGTGAGGCCTCCAAAGCAGGGGGCGCTTCTTTTGGTAGGAGTGTGGTCTGACATAAGGTCCAGTTGTGTCAGTACGCTTTGATGTTCTTCTGCTGTTAAAAGGTGCTGGATTTTCTTTCTCTTGCACAAGCTGCCCAGAAGCTGCCCGGTGGTTGATCACAGAAGAAGTGACGGTGCAAGGGCCAGAACAATGAACCAGAAAGGACGTCCACGCATGATTTTCAAGAAGCATTGAGCACTAGAGAGAAAAGCGCTGATGGCAATGTCATACGGGCGCGCTCCGCTTGTTGTCCTCCAATGACCCGCGTTTTGGGATCTAAGCTTCCATCTTTTTCAACCAAGAATGCAGTCAAGGTGTCTACCGAGGCATCCATGCCACTAATTCAGTGGGAAGACACGAATCTGGCTGAGATTGCACAGCGTGCCAACACTCGTGAAAAAAGTGCTCTGCAAGCACTTGAGCGATGCAATGCAATCTTTAGACGAGGCCAGGTTCCTACAGGCCAAGAATGATTGAAGATGTGAGACTTCACATGTCAAAGAAAGTATGTCTTACGCTTGTTGTCGACAAAGAGCGAGGGCGCCGAATCCGTGAGAATGCGCCGCCATCCCAGCAGCCTCAGGGTAGGCGGCGAGTCCAACTTTGACGTAGCATATACTTTGGCGGGCAGGCTGTCTGTAGCGGTTAAAGCGGTCACCTCCGAAGGATGGTCTGTTCTGCCAGCTGCTACGGAGGCACCTTCAAAACCAGACAGTGTTTTGATAGGAGTTAGCAAAGAGAGTTTTGGTGATAGGATTGAAGTCTGTTTGAGCCATGGGGCTCTGGCCCAATGTTGCGGGAGTCATGTGCAACAAGAACAAACAGAATGACTGTTTAAATCGAGTTGCAGCAAGTCATCATGAGGGAGCGCTTGCGCCGCCTTATTTCCCATGAAGGTCCGCAAGCTTTAGGACTTCATGGACATGGAATGTACGTGACTTGACACGTCTGCCGGCCGCAACGGTCTGTGCCAATAGGACTGAGTTGGCAACTTGCGTCTGGCGCCGATTCTTGCACGGTCTTACAAGGGTCAGGGATACATCACATCAGTGATCAGTTTCCAAAGCAGAAAGGCACAGCTCCAGGTGTGTGCATCATACCGGCTGACACACTAGATCAGAAGATCCTGCCAGTGCAAAGAATACTTGTGAAGTGTCTTCCATTCTTTTCTGCTGGAAGTCACTTAGATGGTTGTTGCAAACGAGACAGATCAGACTTGAAATCCCGACTCACCGGTGTGCCCTGCTAGCAGCACAAGGAAACTCAACCAGGTGGTCCAGCGCCCCCAACACACTCGTGCCCGCAAGCAACGCGCTCTTTGTTCCATCTTGTTAGGAGGTTGCTGGGGGTAAGCAGACCTCCAGAACCAAGATGCTCAGTTGTCTTTTCTTTTTGGACAGTGCTGAAAAAATGCCTGCTTGGTTACCACACGCAAGGACCTCTCCAAGAAAGCCTATCCTCCCTTGGAAACTCAAGGCAGCTGCAAGAAGGGGAACACCACTCCAAACTTAAAGTCCGCTGGTCATCCTGCCTGCAAGGTCCTCCTCTGTCCCAAGGCCCATTAATCATGCCGCATAGCAGTACTTACGGAAGACCCACGTCGCTAAGCCTAAAGTTGCACCTCCTCAAGTAAACAACGTTAACAACAGGTCAACGACGGATGGAGCACAATTAATGATGTCTCCACTGCTCGGCCCTTTCTCAAGGATGCTTTGCACAGCTGTCAGCTGACCAGCTGGACTCGGTAATATGGTATATCACGGACTTGTCTAGACCTGGCCTGGGACGGGGCTGTCGCCTCCAGGCTGCTGAATTGAATGCGCAGGATTAATGCAGTCATTGGACTCGGAGTGCAGGGCCGAACGTCCATGCCTCGGCAGGATGGACATGTGGTACTTGTAGGAACACGTGAACCACGGGTTTAGTCGGCCAGCCGTTTATTAGGTTATTGGCCCCGCACAGTGCATTTTCGGCGACGGCGGCGCTGCGGCCCCTGCCATACCGTCGCTCAACAGAAAACAACAGTGACCCGCTGTGAAGATAAACCAGCATATGAGATACGTATGAGACGCACAGGCCGGCCCAGACTAGATTCAGCATGGACGCAACTGTCCTACATCCATATTTTAGGCCAAAGCGCCTCAAGATTGACAACCATAGTACATACACTGATGAACCCATACCGCTGTACAACTCGATCGGGAAAGGTGCCCTAGCTGCCATACGCAGCATCGATTTAAGAATGCAGATCCAATACCGGCATGACAGGCTTAAAAGGTTTGGCCAGGCTCGCGGCCTGAGCTGGGCATGTGCGCTGCGCCCGCCAAAGATCAGCAGTATGTGCACATATGCCACGGCCTTTCTGTCGATGAAGCTGAAAGTTTTGTCGTAAGAACAGTTTCCAGGCTGGGTTCAGTATGGCCAGTCCTAATAGTATCAGCCTCTCAAGCAAGGAGTGGCGACCGCCTCATATACTTTGCGCGCATGTAATAAGCTGCCTTTGAAATGTACCCATGCAGATTCGTTGCTGTCCAATTGAGCGCTCTCTTTTCATGACGGGCTTCCTCTTAGATCTTAAACCAACTCAGCCGCACTTTAGAGAGTAAAAGTTCTAGCATTTGCTTGCGGCCTGAAATCCTTGTCCTCTGCGGCAAAATTGCACCGACAATTCTGCACGGGGTCATCGTCGGCGTCGAGCTTCTTTCCTCTTGCTGTTCTTAAACGCTTCCCAATTCTTGGCAACCCACAACTCGCGCGCAATCAGCTCTTCCCGTTCCTCCTCATCTGCAAAGGCAGACAAGTGTAAGACACATCAGCAAACCGGAGATTGGAATAAAGCATGCGAAAGAGTCGACAACTGTAAAGCAACACTTCTTCGTAGAAGCTCTTCCAACTCAATCTTCGAAGCCACAGGGCTCTCGCAGAAAGATCGCTTCGAGCTACTTGCAAGAGTTCTGTCCGAAAGGCGCCAAAGGGACAAGCCTCGAAAAGTGCCCTCAGATTGCTCTAGGTATGGCAGAACCAAAGATATGAGGACCGGAATGCGGCTATGAAAGATTGCGGAGCTATTCAAAAACGATCGAGTCGGGGAGTAAGATGAGACGAGGAGAAGGGCAGGAACTTTCAAGTCAGAGCGTCAATGTTCCCACCGCTCGTTCACCACGAGCCCAAGAACCACCAGGAAGGTTACTAAGTAAAGCTGGCACTTTCCCTGCCGATTGCCGACAGCTTTTTGTGAAACCATCATGTTAAGGTACGCTTCGGAAGTTCCCTCCCACACTCCTACTAAGGCGCCTCACATTTCCGCCACATATCGGCTTCAAAAACAACCGAATCGCCCAATCCGTCCTCGAACGGCTAGAGTACAGCCAAAGAAGCCATTTTGCGACATGTGCCGCCCTTAAGTACGGCAAACCTTCATTCCTAAACCCAAGCCCCTCGCCTCATTCACAGCCGCCACATCGGGGTTTGTCCGTACTACTGTTGCGGCGGATTACGGGTGCTTCTAGACTCGACAACAGATATCCAAAACCAGCTCCAGGCGCAGGTTTGACTGAGATAGTGAAAGAGCAGTCGAGACCGAGGAGCAGCGACGTCTTCACTATAAAATCGAACTGCAAGAAAAGCGGATTTTCAACAAGCTGACGGTTTCCCAGGCGGAACCAAGGTGTTCTGTCCCTGGGATCGACCACCAACGAAGCGCGTCCGAAGTTCGGCGAGCATCTTAAATAAGGCGCACCAATCCACTCCTCAGGGGGGACATATCTCGTTCCTTCTCCACGATTCCAATCGTTGCAAACCCCGAGATACCTTAACCAGCTTTTGAGCGCTTTCAGCACGACTCACCAATATGTTCCCACCGCTCGGCCCCCACCCCCAGCGTGCTCCGCGTGAGATACTCGCGGGCGTCCGCATCGTACGGCTCCTTGTTCCACCGGTACTTGCGCGTCCACTCCACCTCCCACTTCGCCCACTGCACGGACAAGCCCACCCTGGTTTCAGTCTTCCACTGCGCCCTAAATGAAGAAGAATGTTGAAGACGGTGTCGCTAAAGATCAGCAGCAGCAGCCGTTTACTTTTCGAACGTATGCAATCGGTGTGCCTCGCTCCGTCCGCTTGAAAGAGAACAAGCGGTGCCGACCGACCAGACGACCGACCAGAATCCGCTGAACAAATTTGGTTTCTTGGGTCCCGACTCAAGCTGTAGGTCCACACAGGTAGGCGGTTCGCCACATTGCGGGCAAGATGCACCGCGAACTGTAGGCATTAATGCTGCTGTGCCCCAGTGCTTTGAAAGCGAACGGATAAAAAGTAACTTAAGGAACAGGTACATCCGCAACGCCCCTATGCCCCCACCTTGAGCGATTGAAACCAGCCCACAACCCAAAACCCCCAAAACCGCATTCCGGAACATCCACGACATCTCTAGTTCTAGTTCCAAAACCCGAACAGCTGATCCGAGTGCCGGTTTGCCCCCTCACCTTAAACAGGTTAACCACCCCCATAACCAGCTGCCACGGCAGCAGGCGCTTCCAGTGGGGCGGGGGCCGCCCGACCAGCTCCACCTCCTGAAGCACCTCCTCCTCTAGTTCCTTCACCGGGTCGTCATCTTTCGCAGCCCTGGAGGGAAAAGCAGACAGTCAGACGGAACTCAACTACCTCTGGAAACCTTTGGGTCCGATGCCAGGACTGGGATGTAAGCATTTAGCCATGAAGAACCACGCTCAGTATCTGGCGCCCATGGCTTGTTCCGTGGATTCGATCCCAAGAGATAACATCCTTCGTCCTACTTGTTCAACGACGGGAAGAAGAGACTCTATCTGCAGTCTGATCGCGTTGGTCGATGTGGATGCTGGGACAGAAGGAAAGCAAGAAAGGTGGTTCGGGTACAATTGATAGAGGATGTTTCCAACTGAGACAATACCCACTAGTCTGCGCTCACTCTGAATTCTCGGATTCAAGAATTCTGACCACGTAGTCGCCAACTGTGTAGGGGGTGGTCTCTGACACTGCGCTATGCTCCTTGATGCTGGCGCTCAATCGCATCGTCACGAATCACGATACCTTCTCGTCTCGCTGGAAGCCATTACTCTTAGAATAGTTCTGGTGCGCCAATCGTACCTATCAGCGGTTAAACGCTGGCCAATCCGGTAGTATTCGTAGAGTCTAGATATCTCACTTGTTCTTGGAGCGAACTTTCCCCTTGGTGCCCAGCCGCTCTTGCTTCAGCGCGTTCAGGCGCCTCCGAAAGGATGCCGACTTCTTGACGTCGCTCATAGCCTGCGGACCAAGTGTCAAAAGGTGTTCGCACGTGAGACCCTCAACCGATTTTAGCAACAGGATCCTTCTGTACCATGTTCAGCTCTTTGAAGCACACTCGAGATGCCAGAAACCTGTATTCAAAGCTCCGCACCACTATACTTACATTGGGTCAAAAGGTCAAGAGCAAGCGGCCGACCAGCCACAATGCGGTGATTGAATCGTCTTTGTAGCGAGACCAGTCCGGGCGGCGGACATCCACTCAGCAGCAAACCTCTGCTCAATACTGTATCCAGTCGCCAACTCCTGGCCAGCCTGAACAGGATGTACCAGCAGTATTCTCCATCTGTGCGCTTGCCCATCCTTATCCAACAAGAAAAAAACCGCATAAGATTCTGTGTTGCTTAACAAGCCCCTCTGCCCCGTTTAGGTGCATAAAGCTGTCTTTCTGACCATGTCGACTCCAGAGAACAGACGGTCTCATCTTGACGGTGGGTCCTTCCCCTTGTCTTTTAGCATCACTGCCCACTGCCCTCACTCACAATACCAGAACGCTTGTAAATGCCTCAGGGTGCTCTCTGGAGAAAATGCGTCAAACGAGTGCTGATTTGGGCGCTCTCACCTTGTGATATAGGACATAATCGTTGAAGTACTGGAAGCCCGAAATGATGACCACCACGCCCAGGACGATGAGTCGGATGTCCTGCAAAATGAGGTCCAGCATCATGAGAAAATCCAATCACCGACTTACAGTTTGTTGCAGTCTCATCTCTGTTGCACTACACACTGCATGGCACTAACCACCATTTGTAAGGCAAAACAGCGACTTTGTCAGTCAAAACTGGATATGGTTCCTGCTGATGCCCAACAAAAAGTGCGTTACAAGTCCACCGGGTTAAGAAACAGGCGCACGATTTCCCTAAGGGATGAGATGCTCTCGCAATTTTCAACTCGGGTCATGAACAAGGCCTCTGTAAGGGGCGAATCAAGCAACACCACTCACCGACTTAGGCCCATAGTAGGTCTGGTAATATCTTGCAGTGTTGTACAGGACTCTCTCCGGGTGTGCCAAAACGTAGTCATACGACGAGCGCCTGTCCTCGTTGCTGAGGATCTCATAAGCGGCGCCGATTTTGGCAAATCGGCGCTGGGCGGTTTCGTCCCCGGGGTTCTTGTCTGGGTGCAATGAGAGCGACAGCTTGTAGTACGCCTGGCGGAAACAGATGATGCAGGGTTTAGGGTTCTCTAAAAAGCTTTCGGTGAGGAAAGTCATATGGGAATGGAATAGGAACACGATATGGACCGATGACAAGGTGGTGCGACAGCTGTCTTGAGGAGCTGAAGCGTCAAGTGTGCGCCCATCAGATCTGATGCATCAGAAAAAGGTAACGGTCACTACAAAGTCCTGCATTCTCAGCCGCACCCTCGCAAAAGCGAGCAGAACAGTTTGATACACGCAGATCTGCTCTGTTGATCCAGCAAGACATCGGTTCCTCCGACCTCACCTTCCTGATCTCGGAACTGGTGGCCGTCTGGTTCACTCCAAGCAGCTCGTAACAGTTGTCATCGTCGCACCAGATCGCCACTGCAGGGCGGATCAAAGAGCAAAGCGCCAGAGCCAGGCACACCCAGCTGAGAAGCTGATAAGACATGGGGAGCTTCATTGTGCTTCTGAAATGCGCGGATGGACATAGATCTTCGCCAACCGGGGGCTTTGAAAAGCTCTTAACTGCAGGACGTTATCAGGGATTAAGATTCGGGAAATTGCTTCCCTCCGCATCCCTTCTGGGCTTCCTTCTCTTCCTGCAGCCCCTGGACCTACGCAGGGGCAATCAGGTCCACATCGTGATCAAGTAGATTTGACAATTGTGACAACGTGGGCTCACACCCCTGCCACTGGGCAAGTTCGTTCCCCAGTGCATTTTGCAACCTATAGATACCCAGCTGAGCACTCCTGAACGTTAAATTGCAGGGAGCAAGCCTGGCCGCCAGCTGCAGCATTGCATGAGGAGGACGTCTCTACAGGAGCACTGATGAGGGGCGTTCGGAGGAGATGCACAGCGGATGAGTCAACAAGAAGTGCCACTCCATAGTCTTTTCTTTACATGCGCTGCATGCACGTGCCTTGTGTGGGAGTGTGAATTGATCTAAAGGCTTTCCCTTGAGAGTCATCTGCACCCCAGCAATCCAATGGCGTCCGCACCCCAGGAAACCATGGCGGCCGCTCTGGCTGCCAAGCTCACCCAGTGCTCCACAAGAATCACGACTGCAAACGCTGACCGCAACATCGCAACCTGTTTTAGCGCTTGGCTGTCCTTACACCAGTCTCTCCACCACTACTTCGCCCTGAGTGCAAGGGCCGAGCAGTCCGAGGAAGTCAGAGCGTCTCAGGAGAGATTCGACTGGCACTGGACGGAGCTGCCTGCATTCCCGCTGCGTCGGCTGTTCCCCCTCGCCGCCGAGACGCTCTCTCGGTTTCCAGAAGGCTCAGAGCTTGCGATGCTCATTGCGGATTTTTGTGTGGACGCGTGTAAGCAGAATGTGCTCGCCAAGACGGCCGCCATGGAGAGCGGGGTGATCCAGGGCCTGTGCGCGCTGGCGGCGCGCGTGGCCGCCGCCGTGCGCAAGTGGGACCTGCCCCGCGAGCCGTTCCTCGAGCGCGCGGCGCTACTCATCTACCGGGTCTTTGAGGCGCTGCACTACATCAGCGAGACGCCCACGGTCGGCTTCTACAGCAAAGCCCCTGAGGTGAAGCGGGAGTTCTTCGGCGCTGCTCAGAAGGCTGGGCCAAAGTGGACCTCAGTGAGTCAATCCCTAGCTTCAACGCACACTTTGACATGGACGAGTGGGCGGGCCTCGAGGGCACCAACCACGCGCTCTTCCTGGCCTTCTTCTGCTTCACGCAGATGCAGGCCGACGAGTCGAACGAGCACTATCTCTCCATTCGGAGGAACATAGCCGAGCCATGGGAGTTCCAGTTCCCCAGCAACAACCAAGCTTTTCTCAAGTGAGTCCGGTGCTGGCCCTCCCTGTCTTGATCTGACAAACTCCGAAGCTCCATCAGATTAAGTCGCCCAGCTTACAAACTTTTGCTTGTTCTATGCTGAAAGAGTCATCAGCACAATGTTGTTGAATGTCCTTTCTTTTCTTTGGCAATGTATGTGCTGCCTGCACCCACTTGACGCCAGGAGTGCCCATTAAAGTGCCCCCCCAATTGGATGTGCGGCCACGTCTAGTTGCAGTGGCTTTCTCAAGGGTAGCTTTCCATGCTGTGGAAGGCCAAGGTCTCATCAGCGCGTGGATACTTCTAAGTATATGCTTCCCCCTTCTCTGCACTTCTAAGCTCGTCTTTCCAGATTGGATGCAGTCGTCGCTGCTTAATGCCCCTTCCCTTTGTTTGCAGGTTCATGGGGAGGGTTTTCAAGAATCTCGAGCGGCAGTCCTCTCTGCTTGATCGACAAGACGCGATGCTCATCTCTGAGCTGCTTGTCATCCTCAAGAGGACGCTCGATCCTGAAGCCGTTCCCTACAATCACAGGTGGGTGTCCTCTCGCTTTCGACCTCTCAGGCCAAAATTTTAACTGCTCTTCTACGACCGTAACCCCAACATTGACTGTTCGTTTCCTTCGATTCTTCGGTGCACAAAATGGTAAGCCGCTGAACGTGCTGCTTATGGTGCTTCATCTATCACACTGCTCCTAGCAATCGGTCCTTGCTAGGCCTTACTTGTGTTTGATATGTTGCAAGGATATTGCACTGGTTGTTTGTACAAGCAAGGTCTCGAAACTCGCCTCGTGAAACTCAGTGCTGCTGCCTAGAGCTGTTAGTCATACAGGCTGCAAATTGAGTCCACAACTCGAATCCACAAAATTGGCGTTTGCTGCACAAGCTGCTCGTCAAGGCCCGCAAGCAATAGAAGCACAAAATGAAAGACTCTGACCACTAAGTCTCTCCAATTGCAGGCTTCCGTACTTCACACCTGCTTTGAACACCTCCATGAGCGTTCCCGGTGATAACTCCGGTGATAGGGACTGGGGCCAAGAGGCGCGCCTTTGGAATGATTGGCGGGAAGCGACCACCCGAAAGGAGGTGCGGAACGAGGCGCTGAGCATCCGACTGCAGCAGCATTCTGGGTTTGTTCGAGCGAGGCGCAACATCATATGGGTTCCCGCAACGAGAGAGCCCGGTGGAGTGGCGTCAACGACTCTGCAGGCACGCTCGTCATCTGACTTAGACCGCCAGCGTACGGAGAGGGAATCGAGCCTTCAAGAGAGGGAGCCGGAAGCTGGGCCCTCGACCAATCGGAACGCCCGCCGTCGGGAGCAGGACGGATTTCGGACGGCGCAGGTCACGCGGACGGCTCGAAAGGAGACCATGACAGAGCTACGGAAGAAAGAGGAGATGCCGGAGATCTCGAGACAGAGAGAAAAGAAGCTCAGGAGGAGGCTCCGCATGCAAAAAGAGACAGTCGGACTGGTCGTCAGGAGGCGGGAGAGGGGAAAGCGGATATGGGAAACGCAGCTGGGAGTCCAAGACAGGCAGACGAGATTGAAAACACGGCTGAGAATAGGAGGACGGAATCGCAAGGGCCGGCGAGTGCGGGTGGGGGGAAGGAGAATACGAGAAAGGAAAGAGCTGGCGAGAGAGTGTGCGGTTGGTGCACCAGGAACCAGAAAGAGCGCGCGCCCGGCGCGCCCAAGTTCAAAAAGTGCGCGCGCTGCGAGCGCGTCTTCTACTGCAATGCAGAGGTGAGCTCACTAAGCTTCACATCCGAATCTTGGGCAGGCGAGAAAGTGAAGGGTGATAGAATGGTCAAACGAGGTCTGTGTTGGGCGAGGTTTGAAGCAGCGTGTTCATTAGATTTGAACAAGAGAGAACTTGTAAGATGAGCAGAAAGAGAGCAGCCGTGAGATGCACGCCCAGCCCTCTTCAGGCTTCCAGCTTGCTGCTTTGGTCAGCCCTGCCCTTGATTGGCGACTGCTCCATGTAATGCTGATTCTCACCTCCCCTGTTTGTGTAAAGCTGGAGCGTAGGGGTTTCCCTCGAACTGTAGATGAAGCCCCAGGTGATGCTTGCTGCTCGTGCTATTTGTAGTTGATACTCACATAATGGAAAGCTCAGAACGAGACCTGCAAGCCGTGTTTGCTCACCCGTGTATTGCAACATCGAATGCTAGCTCTCAAATCTGCTTGTTCTTTCCCTTCGCTCCTCATTGCAGTGCCAGAAGCTCCATTGGTCGCAGCACAAGCAGGCATGTGCACGAACCTGAACTCAAAGGTTGTTCTAGATGAACGCACCTCCTCAAAACTGAGGTTGCTCAGTTGCCGTTTTGGGCACCCCAAGTGCTGGGTGCCCACAGTCCGTGTACATAACGACTTCCCACTTCGTGTACATAAGGCGTCTTGCTGATAGATCTAGGCTTTTGAGTAGCTTTAGGCTAGCTCCGCGGAAGGTTTCAGAAAAAGTCACTGAGCCGGTCCGCTGTGCTCAGGGCCAAGTTCGACTTTCGGTTACAAGATGGATGGGTTTTACATGGGCGTTGGTATTTGGAATTTCCGGGAGTAAGCGCACTTCTGGGTATGCAGCAAGACTATGTCCGTATCATCCAAATAGGCTAATTTGGATCGCCAGGCAACTAAGGGCAATGCCTCCGATGATGGAGTAGTACAAGTCGATCATTCAATCAGAGAAGTTCGAAATACCACCAATCCGGCGATGGGGAACCGAGTTTCAACTTCCGATCTCGAACCAGTGGCATGACATTATTCATCAAATCCACGATACTATATTACAGAACACTGAAAACAAAGAAGAAAATATACAAAATCTACATCCGCGCACTCCCTATTGGTCGCAAAATGCACGGTGACGATTCAAGTCAACTCTATGTTCTTTTTGTAACGATGTTGAAAAAGGAACTTCACAGCTTTATATATTGTGCTACTTCAGCCGCTTTGGGCTTGGTTGATTGGTTGCTTGAGTTTCCTTTACCTTTGGCTACAAAGGTTATCTTCAGCGGAACGGCTTTTGGGCTTTGTTAATCAACATTATTTGGACTTAGATATCCAAGCCTGGAAACCTTTTCATGAGGAGTTCATCCCATTAATCTGGTACTCTAGATGGCGTAAACTCTGTGACAACGAGGTCATCGAGGAAGAAGCGTTAAAAGGAATGTTGAGAAGCTGAGTACGCCAAGCTGTGTCAATAAATGAGTTGTTTCTCAGGTCAAAATCAAAAGCTAAATTGTTGAATTTCCGCCGGCTTTGGCTCTCTGCGTTTCCCGCTACCAGTGTTTAACAAACGATTGCTGGCTCAAAAGATTTGTAGGATTTACTAAGCGCGCGGAGATCTCAAGTATTATAAAGCCGTCCGATCACTTCGAACCACCGACGATTGGCATTGAAACACTACCGAATCCTGGTCGACCAAAATTTTCGGTAGATGCTGCAGCGACCGCAACCATCCGATTATGACTTGCGAAGTCGAGTGGAAGTCGACCGTCAAATTCCGTATTCTAAATCAACGGCTGTGATCTACTGGGACTGCCTTTGCCCCGGGTACCCTTTCCCGACCACTGAATGGGTCTTTTATGTAGAATAGTTGCGGAGATCAATCAATCAATCAATTTATTTTATA